CCATAGGAATGCTCTAAATTTACAGTGTCTCTGAAACTAACTTTTTGCAAAATATATGGACAAATTTCATTTTTTGTAAGTTCTATACTTTAGCTTTGAGGTTAACCCTTTTAGATAACGAAAAGAAAAAAAAAACGAATCCAATGTCATAACGCTGTTACATCATCTCGAACGCCAACTTCCCAAAAATACGAGAGAGATCTGACCATGCGACGCTGATAATTGACCCGGTAATCGGTCGAGAAATTGGGAAATACAGGAAAGGAATTACACCAATTTTTTTTTTTTTTTTTATCTATGTTCACTAATGGGGAAAAGAGATTGTTCCCATTAGCTTCGACTTTCAATTATCTATCTTCTCCCTCGCTCTCTCACACGCTTTATAGAAATTTCGAAACTCTTAATTTTGTCAAATATAGTGTGACCCGTAGATTCTTAACGACGAACACTATCACAGCAGAAACAGACAGAGGAACAACATACCTGTTGGCTTTATTTCTACCTTGGTGGCCTGCTTGCCGGTTAACCTCTTTTACTCGATCAAGTTGACAAACGGTCTCGCCTTACGTCGCCGATTTCCCGCTACCGGTACGTGTACGATGCACAGCAGACACTGCTTGTAATTACTGCTACACGAGGCTCGTTCCTGTTATAATCGTTGAAATTGATCCCACGAAGTATACTATTGTCGCTCACAGCTCGACTCGTGATTGACAACAAAGCAAGACTGAAACACCGGGACCATGAGGCAAGACCTAAATAGGACTGCCGACAGGCACACAAGCAAGCCTAAGTACGCTGAAACGTACGTTAGGTCGAAGATCTAACTAGTGGCGCCATGGTGCGGCGTTTCTTCGCATTCATCTTGCGACTACCAGCAGATGCCTACGTGATTCTTCTACGGAGGAGAAAAAAAAAAAAAAAAAAGAGTTTTGTACGAATCTGTTTGCTCGGTTTGATTATGAATTGGTCTTGATTATAAGTTTCAAAAAGAATTCGAACGTTCTTGCTTTTTTCACGATATATATCGCGATAAATGCAAATATATAGATGAAAGAAAATGAAATGTAAGCTCCCTGTATTATTATTAGGAATGATTTGATATCTTCCTTCTTCGTTATTGTTATTTCTTGTTTAACAAATAATAAGCCTTTTTTGTAAGAATATCATGGAGGAATCGAGTAGCATGTTAAGCGCATTTTTATAATCTTAAATGCATCAGTTTCTAAGATAACTTTTCATGTCTTTTTAAAAGATTCTTAAATTAGGGAGAATTAGTTATTTCATTCGAGTTATGAATTATTTGCTCATTTATCCATGTTTCTTGAATTTCTAATTCGTACCTTGACGAACAATGGAATATTTCAATTGTAAATGAATGGATTCGCATTTAGTTTGAAAAATATATCATTGATAACATGATATGAAAGTCAAATTTACTATAAAATATCTAACAATATATAACATTTTAAACATTTTTTCATTACTATTAATTAATAGCAATGAAGCTAGATTATAACTTATACATATATATAATTATAGTATTATAGTTATATGAATAAATGAATAAAAACACAGTGCATTCATATTGCATTCGTGTGTCATTTTATATCTGTCGCCAAATGACAATAAATTATTATAAACTACTATTATATTTATTATAAACTAAATTATTATAAACTACATATTGATAATACAATTTATCTTAAAAATAATATAAAATTGTACGATCTTCATCTTCGTGGCACATCGTCTGCTTTTCAAGCTTTTTTTCCTCAACAGAAATTAATCTAAACTCCAAAGTTCAATCAATGATCATGCGAATGGCGCAACATTTCACGAATCAGTGATCATAAATTTTCATACAATTATGTACGTACATCTAACGTCATTTTGAGGAATCGATTACAATAATCATCGAAGAGCAAAACAATCAAGTAAAATGATTAAAATAATTTAACGAATTTTACATAATATTATCACGTAATGTATTCATCTGGAAATAAAATTATCTAACAATAAGTGATTTTGTACAACAGCAAGAAAAACATAAACATTAAAGCTTAAGAAATTTGTCATTTTTATGGTGTTATAAAAGAAAATTGTGAATAATTCTAAACAACAGACATAAATTGACTTTTATCCTTGCTTTTTAACATTACTTTTTTGTAGATGACGACACACTTATTTCCTAATGACACAAATCTACATTGACGACACTGATCTATACTCTATTTTATTCTCAACAATTAAAGATGTATTTGAATTGAATAACTTTGAGAAGATATTTGCATTGACATTCTAGAACACTGCTAGAATATATTTTTCGCCAATAATCGCTATGTATGTTAAATAGGAAAAACACAACTGCGAAAAAGGAACTTGTATCTGAGAGAGATATTTCGCTCTTTATTTTAATAACATTATTCTTTACAGTAGATAAGATTGACTCTTCTGTACCTTCATCTCTTTGTCTGACAACTACAAAGTGATTTTGAGGATAAATAAAAACTTTAAGATACTCTACTCTAAAACTTATGAGAATTGGCGAAAAAATGAAAGTTCGAACGAATTCACGTGCTTCCAAAGAAGAGGCTATTTCTATTCTTTGGACAACATAAATCTTAGGATATCGTTCATGAAGATGAAAATATGTGTAGAAATTATTTTTTTCACGATGAATCAAAGATCATACTACTCAATTGATATGCGTCTGTGTTTTAGATCTGTTGAATAATAGCTTGAACAAATGTTATGAATATAGCGATTAATGCCAATGAAATTTAAAATTTTTTGTGTTTATTAAATATAAATAATATTCTTGTACATTAAATCGAAGTTTTATAGAAAATCGTTTCAGTCGTTACGAAGTTCAAAATCGTAATGTTGCGCAATACAATTTTAACACGTGTACGAATGAAATTTAAATAAAAATTTACGTTTATCTCTTATACGTAATCACGAATATTTTACTTCAGACATTTTTTATCTTTATCTTTGTATACTATATCCATTCTGTACGTTTTCTCTTCAGTTAAATGCCCGAACATCCGCCTAGTCTAGTAATTAGTAAAGGAAATGTCGATTAATAAAATATACATCACGAATTAAAGAAAGATTTATTTAAAGAAATATCGAATTGCTTGAGGAAGCATTCTTTTCAAGTTTCGTTTCAAGAAACGAACTTTCAATGTTCTTTATCGTTGCAGCTTACGAAGAAGCTTCATGAGTAAACTTTCACGGGGAGCAGCGATTCTTCTCGTCGGCCGAATCGATTGCATCAATTCCATCGATTTGCTGTCGCTACAGGGTAAACATTATTATCGACACATCATTGTCCTCATTCGCGGGTTTGGTGCACTTACAGGTATCAATAATGTACCCGCGACGCTGATTTCTTCAAAACACCGTAACCTGATTCCTCCATTATTATCCTCTTCTCTCGTGAAATCATTTTGATATCTCGGTAAACGATTGTACGTACTTTCACTGTCAACAAACTTTCAGTCTCTCGATGAGTTATAATAAGCGAGCCGAAACGAAATTATTTCACTCGTCTCGTTTATTTTCTTTGCAAAACGGCAACAAAATTGCTTTATCTATTATCAACAAATTTATTTACCTAAGTCGAACAAATGACTTATGAATTTCATATTCAATCGTGATGCACATCGAAAAGGACGTATGACAATGTTTTACATTGTCTGAAGTTCCTATCCTTCCTACAAATAAAATTGCCTGTTTAATATTCGAAATTCATTGTCTGAGAATTTGCTTCGTTCAAGACGGTGTTTTAAACTGGTCTACTATTCTAGTAAGAAAGTGAAGGGAAGCGTTGCACTCCCAATTTAATTGTCACTTCGGTCTTGCCTTCCGTCATCATCTCCCAAAAGGATATTCGCGATATTATCCGTTTCATTAATTCAACAATGGATCTCTATCCAGAGCTGGTAATTTCTATCGCATGCGTTGAAGGTAAGGACGAAAGGGAGATGATCCCTCAGTCTACGTTCGATCGTTGTCCAAAGTGTTTCGTGTTTCGTATACAGGTATCGATAGACTCGATGAAAATAGCCAGTTTCCTGTCTTACGTAGCGTTCGTCGAAATTGAAATAACCTTATGAATTTTCTACCGATTTTTTCGTTAACAAAACATTTATAAAATGTGCAGATTTATGTACGACGTGATTGATTCAAAGTCCGTACTAAAATATACAATTCACTGACGCGTCATACTAGTTTTGATAATCAAGAGTTTCTTTCAGACAAAAATTAAATTCTCTAGAGTGACTTTCTGTGCGATTTATTTATTTAAAGATTCACCTATTAAACGGACATGATTTCATAAGTAGAATTTTATTACTGAACAAAGTTTTAAAATTATGTACGTACGAGATAGAAAGTCAAAGATTTTTTTTCATTGTTAGTTGAACACGATATTAAACGTCAATGGTAACAGAACCATCGGGTAGTTATTAACGAGTAAAGAATCCTGTACGAGCTTCACAAATCGATGGTAGTAAAAAAAGTTACTTACGAACTTGTAGTTCATTTTTTCCTTTGAGGTTTATAGAAATAAAAGGAAAAGAAGAAAAAAGGAAAAAATGAAAATGAAACTTTTCGTGACGGCGACATTTTACATGGTAACGAGCACCTGTATTTTACCTTCACCGTTGACGTTGCAATTAATCCTGGAATTTGCTAAATGGAAAGGCTGGGATCAGATAGTACTGTTCGAAAATTTTACCTCCTTAGGTAAGTAAGTATTAGGTAATTTATATGCTCTTTCGGTTTTAAATAAATTCTCAAAATCGTTTAAAAAGTTTAAGCATCTGAATGATGAAATCACTGCCAAAAAGATGTATTTCTGTTATTAACAAATTACAAGCAGAAATCTTTTTCGAAAAGAATTCGCTCCCGAATGAATTAACATTCCTCCTTCAATTAAATTAGCATGCAGGAAAGTCTTCGTTTCGAGTTTCTTTCTTTCTTTTTTTTTTTTTTTTAGCGTGACCCTTGCATATCCAATGAATTCCAATGTCATACACTTTTTCATTCAATGTCAACATTTTTTCTTTGTTTCTCTTTTTACAGATTGTGTCTTTATTTATACGAAACCTTTGATCGCGTGTCTCTCGAACGAAGGAATCGCCATGTCGATACAATCGGCCGCTAATCCGAACATACCTGATGCCCTCGCGATACAGAAGCATCGAATCGGATCGATCGTTTTACTGGATGGGCTTAATCTCACGTCCCCTGATAATGTCCTTCACGTGGTGAGAAGACTTAGACTGCGGATGTTTACACATTTGTGGATAACTCAAGCAATTAGAAAACTGCATGTAACCGTAGATTGCTTTAATATTCAAGAGAGTCTCGATCGTGACTTTCAATCCAAGCTTTTTTCCAATCTTTAAAATATTTCAAGTGCGATTAATCAGTTAATTAAAATTCTAGAGATTCGAGAAGAGATTTGAAAGGGAAGAGAACTGACACTTCCGATAATTAATTCCGACTGTTTGAAAGAACACTTTGAAAAATTCAAATACGTAATTTTAAAAGCGCGTCAAACGTCTTTAAACGTTGACAAATCAATTCTCCGATTGTATCGGTAATAACGAGTCACAGTGATTAATCACATACATTAATTATGCTAATGGCAAAGTATAATAGACAGTTAAGCAATTGTTCAAATTTTATGAAGTTGGAAAAAAAATTCCAGAATAGGTATAATGATCATAATCACATTATGAATTACGAGTAACGCTCCAATCTGAATTCTAAATTTTCATGTGCCGGGTATTTTAATTTCTTTCGCGAAATGCTCATCGAATTAGTAAAAATAAAAGGCTTGTGCAATTTGGCGTTCAACCATTCGCCATTCATCGTTAAAATAGTTAAAAATCTCTAACAATTATATTATGTCGCCACTGTTTTATAACTAATTGATTAATCTTTCGCGTAATGTTATTTTGTATTCTCCGTATATCATGTATATGTATAGCATATATTATTCCATATATAATTCTATGTTTAATGCTATATAAATATAGTGAATAAACATAGTAACATTAATTAATATTACTATAATTAGCCACACAAGCGCACGATAAAGTGAGAATAGTTCCATTAGTATTCAATACAAATAAAAAAAAAAACTTATACGATCAGAGCTGACATTTATATGATCGAAAGATTATTTCACTTTTAATCACAGCCAGTATTACGTTCTTGGCACACTTTTGCTGATTATGTGCATTTTTGCATTTTCAAATTTCTTCAAATTTCAAAATATGCCATGGCATCCAAACCAAATTCTTTATGGCACTCAAAAGAAGATATATGTTTGTATATTTTTTGCTACATAGTATTCTTATTTTATCTGATGATGATTGCAAATCTGCCACCTCAAATTCGATACAGTTAAATTATTATAAAATTTCATTCACCTCTTCCCTATTATTGCAATGTTTCGAAAGCTATGCAATAAAAAGATTCAATGAAAGAAGTCGTGGGTGATATAATTCTTGGCATAAAGGATTAAACGAATCGTAGGTACTATAAAGAGTTTCATACCTACACCTAGTTTCTTTCCACGAGAATGAAACGAAAGTAAAAATAAAATGAAACTAATCGCTGACGTCTTAGAAAATTCCTGTAAAAATCCACGGAGACAAATGAATTGCAGGCATCGCAGAAGTTTCAATTCAATTATTACGTGTCTTGGCTGATGATAACCATGAGGAACACGGACGCGACGATCGATACTGTGCTCCGACACTTGAACATTGGTATCGATAGCGATGTGATCGTTGCAACGTCTCCGTTAACGTACGAAGCGATACAAGAAATGTCTCGAACATACTGGAACAGGTAGCTTCTGCTTAACGATGCACGTATTTCACTTTGTTCATTATTCAGCATATTTTGCTGAAGCCTACACGTGAAACTGATTAGATAAAAGTCTAGAAATATAAAGTCTCTCTTGTCGAAAAGTGATTTTACAGCTCGAAGCGAATTATTTAGAATTTCATACGTTGTAGCTGTAGAATTCAAAGTTCGTTGTCCTTGGCTCTGCATGATAGTCGAGAAATCGCGCTTCATTAAAGCAACTAAAGCTCATCGAGGATATCGTCAAATTAGAATTAAATACACTGCGTCAAATATTAAATTTCATCTTGGGTTTCGTACGCAATTTCACACGATATCTCATAAATATTAATTCATCACCGTACAATATCACATGACATTACATCATAAATATTAATTTACTAAAATTCCGATTATATGTGTACACGCGATTACCTTGGCTTAGTTTTATTCCTATTCAGAATCCTTTACATTCGACGAATTTTACCAAAAATTCGAAGTCCATCTTTATGCATTTATTGGAAATTTCATTTCCGCGTTATCCAACTCTCCACGAACATTAGTTTTTCTCTCTATGTTTTCATCGTATTTTTCAGAACGTGTGCGTCTCTGCAACGCTACGGGTTGAGCTTCGACTTCCCGGAGCCACCAATTAAAAAGTTCGACGAGAACGCGTCCATTAATCTGAATTACGCGATCCTCGAGAATAAAACGGTGCTTTTTCAGTTCGTCCATGCGTACAAAATCCGCTTCTCGGATAACAGTAGTCTAGTGACGAATTTCCTTGGTTCATGGTGCCTGAATTCATGGTCGTTGAACAGCCCGATAAGCGTGAAATTGCGGAACGAGTTCAAAGGACAACCGATCGTCTTCGGTGTTCTGAACGGAACCATCGATCGACAAATGGACACGGACGAAGAGGAGGCAAACGATGTCACGCCGCTCCTCGATTTTGCTAATTTCGTTACCAGCAGTGTGAACGCCAGGTACTGTAAGTAGTATAGCTTGTTTGGAAAATTTTTGTAGAATTTTGTAATGGCCACGAATATGCCAATGGTCTTTTCGGACCATTCGATTTGGTACGTACAAGAATTATCCCGTGATAATATGCAAGTACAATTGCGATAAAAGAACGCATCGTCGCAGACAATTTTTGGATGCTGAATGAATAATTTAGGTATAATATAGAGTCTATCTAAAGTCTATCTAAACGAAATTTACAGATATAAAGATTTAGATGAAATTAACACTAACTTAGATATACATATTTGGACACGCATAAAATTTTATAGTGTTACACAACACAGTAACTGGTTGTACACAGTAACAAAAAAAAAAAAAAGAGATTAAAATGGTAATATCTGAATTTGATTTTAAAAAGAAAACTTTAGTAATTTACAGATTTAGCACGTAGAAAAATACGTCTCTCTAATGAACATTATGAATATTAAGTTCACCTTTAAAAAACGTTTTTTAATTTTCATTGAAAAAGGAAAAATTGATTACTTTTAGCGAATAAGTTTGAAAGTATAGATATTACAGATTGAAAATGTATTATTTATTATTAGACTGTTATTTTAAAGTGTCAAAATCGTGACAGAATGCATACATGAAAAAATATGAAAATATATATAAAATATCAAAAATATAGTATTTTCTTTAATATTTACTGTGTAAAACAATTTTATTCTTTGTTTTAATTAAAAATATGAATTTTTATGAAAATCTGCAGTTATTATGCATGATAAAATTTAAAGAAAACTAAACAACTAAACAGTGACTGGATCGATCGAAAAATTGAGAAAAACATAAATATAAAAAAAAAAAATCATCAGATCATAAGATTATCTATCTCGCTATTATGAATTATTTATTATTTATTATAAAATAGCCACAAAAGGAAGACAAGAACAATGTAAAGTATTGTTATATCAAAAAAACGGTCGTACGTTGCGTCGTATCTGCGGAATTGCAGAATTATCACAAGCAAAACATTTTTATGGTCATTTTTATAGTTCTGTGGAGATCGCGCCGCATGTGAATGTAACTATTATATAATGTAACAAATAAGCTCTTTAAACGGCACAATTAATTCTTTTTTTAGACCACTATTATTCAACGCTTTCTCACGACTCTGCCTGACTCTGTTTTCCAATTCGTATCCAACTCTCCTCTTTTCAAAAAGAAAAGCGCTCCAACGCTGTGCTTCTTACATCACATTCATACTGTCTCGTTCACGCATTTCCAGTAGAACAGGCCATTCTGTTGCAACTAAAAATAACTAAAACTATAATTACATATCACAATAACTACGACACTGCAACATTTATATAATTTTTAAGGAAATCTTTCAAGTTCCACATCCAAGATTTTTCTACATTGTAATTATATGAATGAATATATATTTACCATCGATTATGCCTCCTATCGTTGTATCTCGTGTCGCATGCTAATTTTTCCTTCTCTAATTTTCTATTTTTCCAAAATTTACAAAATTTCATCAATCTATGCATCATTTTTGCAGCATCGAATTCATACCGCACGAGAAATTAGGTACGTTGAATAACAAAGTATGGAATTATTTGCTCGGAGACGTCGTCACTGGGGAAGTAGACATTGGACTGGGATATATCACCGTGAATAAAGAACGACAAGAGGAGATGTCGTTTAGTCACCCTCTGATTCGTTATATGTGAGAAAATATTTCAGATTTCGAATTTCGGATTAGCCTCCCGTAGTCCAGTAACAATGGCCAATTTGTTGTAAACATACAGGACGTGCCTCCTAGGTTTTTGTACAAATTCTCCTATACGTGAATTCTTTTTGCTTATTGAAAACAAGAAAGCTCCATGCAAAGGCTTCCTGAATATTTCCCTATTAACACAAATGTAAATGTAGAAAAAGAAAACAATTTACATTACACGTCAATTGGATTTATTACATCTGTTACAACTAAAAA